ATTGAAGATATGCCATCCAACCAGCTTCTCCCAACTTTTGAGTGGCAAACGACTTATTGTCGTGAGTTTGTCATGAATGATGATGCCCATGTTCGGGGTGAAGCGATTTCTGATTGTATACCAGTCTCTTCTGGCCTGATAGATTCTGGACATTCATTAATGTCTTATGATCTTGGAGCTGCCTCACCAGCATCCTTACCTGCACAGAGTCAATCGGCTGAAACACCATCCGGCCCTGCTGAACTTCATTTAAGAATAGAAGAAGATGAAGAAAAGGAGTGTCTTGTTGAATCTATAGTGACCAAACCTGAGGCTCTCTACCCAATAAGAGATGATGCTTGCCCAGTGGTTTCCTTTGATAACAATCCATCGAACAATGTGAATGTCTGTGATCCTTATGTCCATTATAATGCTCTGTTCCAAGTTTCTAATGAATTGAACTTAGCTAATGAAAGTGAATGTGGTGATCATTCTGAGATTGAAATTATTCAGGAAGAATCTCTTAACGAAAACTCTTCTGAAATGTTGGGTAGTGAATATATTGATATTCATGGGGAGGATCCAATTTGCCCATCTGTGGAAGTAGACCTGAATCCAAGCACTAAGCTGTTGCTTGATGGCCGAGATTTAAAATCTGAGGACGATATTATAGCTACCCAATTGAACTCAGAAGATCTGGTTCCTGCTGCGAAGACTAAACCAAAGTGTAGTTTTACAAAGGAGCTAGGCTTAGATTTTACACACGGATACAAACCAGATTTACCAGAAATTGAAGTTCTGCATCTTGATCAACAAGGAAATTTTGAACAGGTGCCAAGTATATTGGGTGGCCAAGAAATAAGTGTATCCACCTGCAGTTTGGATCTAGTTGAAGATGATGGCAATAGTGAACATCCGTCTTCAGATATAATACCATCTCCAATGAGTAATCTTACAAAGTTGGAAGAATCTCTTTCTATATTTGCAGATCCTCATGAGGAAGAAATGATAGTTAGTGAGGCGGATAGTAGAGAATCTTTGACAGAATTAGCAGCCCAGAAGGTAGTGGATCACGTAGATATTGCTTCTACTGAATTTCCATCAGACATGAACGGATCAGTTCCATGCGATCCTCCTGATTCTGGAATGTGGAATAATATTCGGCATTCATCTCTTGAGAAAATCCAATATAGCTCTTCGATCTATGACCTGAAAGCAGTGCCTGTTTGTTTGGAGCTAGATCCTCAAAGGTCATCTGATCAACCAATTAACCCAACAAAACATGTCATGGATCCATTAGCACCACTTATCTCTGGCTTCTTACACAAGGCAACTAAAAACAATCTTGAGGAGATGCCTCCTATGCCCCCTCTGCCTCCAATGCAATGGAGATCGGTTAAGATTCAACATGCTTCCCTAGTTACACAGAGAGAAGAAGCAAGTCTAGCCTCACTCCAACCGGTACAGCCAAATACACCTGATGATAAGTCTCAATTTGGTTTATCTACTTTTGAAAAAGAGACCCGGCCATCTCAGAATCTATTTTTATCTGTCATGGGTATGCAAAGCAATAAGCATCAAAATTCTTCTGGGGTTTCTGTGGGAATTTCAGAGCATGCTGTTGCTATTCCATTTCAATTTCCTGTAATGTTAAATGAAGCAAGTGGCCAACAGAGTTTCCTGGTACCAGAGCAAAGCCAGATACAAAACCCTTTCTTAGCATTACGGGACAGGCCTCGACTTGGCTATGTTGTTCACTCTGAGGGAGAAAAAGCATTGAATTCAAGTCCACACACATCAATGCTGCCTGCTGTGCATGCTATTTCTGGGGCTGATTCTATTTTTCAGCAAGAAAAACCAACACGATCTCCAAGTCAGTTAACGGAAGGTGGCAGCTTAGAAGTTAAAACGGGTAGACCTGGAGAATTGCATTTGGTGCTACATGAAGAATGTCCTGTTTACCCAGATGGGCCCCTTTCTCCGAAAGAGAAACCAGCAGAAACTCAGTTAATGGAAGAGAACGGTTTAGAAGTTAAAATTTCAAAGCAGTCTTCAATGAATCTGGAAGGGAGGATGGAAGAAGATACTTCAATCTCACCCTTGTCGCCTCCCAGTCCAGGAATTGGGCAGTCAAAGCACAGTATGCCGCCTTCAGAGGGAGAAATGGCGTTTCCTTTGGATACATCTGGTCAGACTGACATGCCATATGGAAAACCAAAGAATAAGCGTGTTCTTCCCCAAGATCCTGTAATTGACCCTGTAGCTGCTCTTGACAAAAGCCGGGTAATGATAGTTTTCTCGTTCTCATATAATGTACCCTTTATGTGGTCTTAAAATCCATGCATGACACACTGCCTTTGATTACTGCAGCTGAGGAAGGTCACTGAACGGGTTATGCCCCCCAGAGCAGCAAAGGGAGATGAAAGAGACTCACTGTTAGAAATGATAAGAACGAAGGTTAGAGCTAGCAAGTTTTATGTAATTGTTCATGCTGATCGTACCCTTTTGTATACATTTTAAATTTTAAATATACATCTACAATTTTTTGTCAGTCCTTCAACTTGAGGCCTGCAGCGGTGAACCGACCACCCAGCATCGGGGGTCCGAAAACGAACTTGAGGGTTGCTGCCATCCTGGAAAAAGCAAATGCAATTCGTCAGGTCTGTCTCTCACTCTGTTTACTGTAACAAGGGTTTGCTCCTCGGCCCCTCCTCCCAGCATCAACTAACTAAGCTAATGTTAATTATTGAATTAGGCATTGACCGGAAGTGATGAAGATGATGATGCAGATAGTTGGAGTGATTCTTGAATTTGCCACAGAATGAAAACTTTTGTAACGAGTTTTTCTCCCATGTAAGGAATAGGAAAGCTACGTGATACAGTCCTACAGAAGATTCTTTATCGTGCACTATATTCATAGAGAGCACATGTTCCCTAGTCCTCCCAATGCACACCTAGATGCATGAACAATGTAGAAGGCATATGGCGTAGCATCAATTTCAGAGCTTTTTTCGAAGGTGAAATTCACTTCACTCAGATTCAGGCTCAGCATGCAACGCAGTGTCAAACAACAAGATCAACAATTCGATTTTCTCCTCGTATAAGAACGTGTATATTTGTGTTGTTCTTCCTATAAGGTTTTGGTTAATCGATTTTGTAATCCGTTATGTAGTGGTTTTATCATAATTGTCTCATGCCATGTAGCTCATGTATCTGTCTTAAATACAATATACACAATATATATAGAGAGAGAGAATTTACTGGTTATGTATTTGTTAATGTAAATAAAATTTCTTTTGTTTAGAATAGTGGGTGCATCAGAGAAGGAAAGGAAGAAAAATAAAATAAAATATGAAATATTTTTATTAGAAGAAAATAAACGAAAATTATATAATAAAATAAGACGTGGCAGTTGGAAAATTTACCACATTACCAAAATGTCAATGTCAAGTATATGCATAATAAGATCATGTGATCACTCTATGCAAGGTTACTTACATAAAAATTGATAGTCTCAGTTTTGAGCTAAAAGTAATATATGTCAAAAATACTTTACTTTTAATATTATGAAATAATTATTTAACATCTATTTCATTACTTATACTTATATAAAGGTAAAATGGTCAGGTAAATTTTTTATTTGTAAAAGAAAACAGTAAAAAGTAGTAAAAGATCATAATAAAATTATTTTAAGTGTCAAAATATCATTACGGTTACTATCAGGCTATTGAAGATACCTTCATACTATATTTTATATGCATGTGTAATGTCACTCAATATTTAATTTTATTTTACAATATTATGAAATCATTAGTGTTTATCATTTTAAAGTGAAATATAAAATAAAATACATTACTTTCTTTTATGATTACTTTTTCTTATGATTGTCTGGTTAGTCCTAGGATGATAACTTATAATTTGAATAGTGAATCAATAAGTTTGGTCATTATTGATAAGTTTGTCGATGGTGTATCAGTTTGATGGTTATCTCACAGTCTAAAGTACAAATGAATGAGTCTAACCAAACACTAAACAGGTTGATTGATCATATACCAATATGGATAGAGTTCCACCGTCCGAAGTACAAGTTACCAAAATCAACCAGTCACCAAACAAGACAGTCAGCCATGTATCATCCTAAATAACCAATCACCGACTAGGTGAGTAGGACAATGAATCTGGCCAGTCACCAAATAGGTTGACCGACCATGCACTAGGTTAGATAAGTCATGCATTGACTCATAGTTAGCCATCGAGCTTGGATGACCATCGAGCAAACTGTCCGACCTTTAATTGGACTGTATGAACAAAACCAGAATAAATTAGTCTTAACCGATCAACTTAATATTAAAATTTAACTACTCACAATTGAATCATAATTAGGTCGATGATAATAAAAAATCCACAAAACCTAAAAATAAAAGTTTGATATAAGAAAGCATGTTACTTGCATTAATTGATATCTGTCATATATAATTTTAACATAAAAATACCTAACATTTGAACTTCAAATAATACGAGTCCGACCAGTCATCAAATAGGTTAACCGACCATGCACTAGATCAGATAAGTTAAACATTGAATCATATAATCAAGCTTGAATGACCATCGAATAGACTATCAAACCTTCAATTAGATTGATCGTTGACAACTTAATGTTAAAGCTTAATTACTCATAATTGAATCATAATTAAATAATTGAATCATAATTAAGTCAATATTAATAAAAACTTATGCAACCTAAAAATAAAAGTTTATATAAAAAATAAATTACTTACATTATGTGTCATAGGTAATTGTGATATACCCAACATTTGGACTTCAAATAATACAATAGAATTCAGCCATTTGATCACGTCCCAAACACTTTCATTATCTAATTTTAAAAATATAGAAAATTAATAGTATTATATTTTTATGCTAAAAAAGAAAAGACTTGGATTGTATAGTAGAAATTTCAATTTGTGTTCTTAATTATTATTAATAAGTGATTTTATGTTAAAATATAAAACAGTAAACAAGTAACAAAAATATTGTTGGAGAGAAAACAGCTCCGAACGCCGCCTGGTAGCTGTCTTTCTCTCTCTTTCTTTTCTGCAAACTTCAAAAACCCTTCTTAATTCTTTTTCCATCATCTTCACACACCACTGCCAACAGCATAAAAGGTACCAACTTTATTTGACCTTTTGCAATTCTGATTCTCTTGGTGTTCCAGTTCAATCCTAAGGATACCCCCCTCGTTTCCATTTTCAAAAGAATTGTGGGAGTTGACCCCTTTTCCCGAAACCCTTTTGGTTTTTTGCTTTTCTTTTTGTTCTAGATACGAAGGAAGAAGAAAACCCCATCTTTGAAGCAGAGGCATGGAGAGCACGGGGCGTGTACCACTGTCGGATGTAGTGGCAGATTGTGCGAAGCGGTGGTTCAAGGACACTCTCAAGGAGGCTAAGGCAGGTGATATAAACATGCAGGTCTTGGTGGGTCAGATGTACTATCATGGCTATGGTATTCCCAAAGATGGTCAGAAGGTGTGTTTCTTTGACTTTCTTGGTTTTTGCTGTTTTCCTTGCATTCAGTCTGCTTCAATGAACTTTCATTGGATTGGAGTTTTGTTTTCGGGGTTTGTTTGTGGCAAACGCCATAGTTTTTGGGGGTTTTGTAATTCAATCAGAGCTGGAGTTTTGTTTCGGCAACTTATACTGTTTTTTAATGCAAGTAAGCATTTTAGTTCTTTCTATGATCCTAAATCATGTATATTTTAACGTACACACCTTTATAATGCTTATATTCCTATGCACATATGTCTAGAGTAGCAATATGAGAAGTTCTATCAATTTGAGGAGTCTTTTTAGCTTGTGAGGTCAGGTTTTCTTCTTTAATAGAGTTGAAACTCAATCTTTTGTGTTTTCCAATTTTGTTGTTTTAATGTGCAGTACACAGAAGTGGCTGCAAATATGTATGTAAAGAGTTTATTGCGCAAAATATGGATTATATGGACCATTGATCAAATATAAAGAACAATAAAAATTATAAATAATGTGTGGAATGTAGATGTACTTGTTTCGTCATTCTCTTTTGTTTCCAAGGCTGATGTTATTAGTTTGGGAATGAAGGGAAGACTTTGGCTGACTAAAGCCTCGAGGGTCAGATCTTCAGTCTGGAGAGTTGGCCGTAAACCTCCAGGTAAATCCTCCCTTGTTCTATGCTAGCAGAATATTATCTATGTTTTCTATTGTAATTTAGTGTGACCCTTTTTGGTTTTGGTGCATTTTTTATAGGTTATAATGCAAGTGATTCGGAGTCTGACGATTTGGAAAATGATTCTTGAACACGCTAAATTTGATTTCATGTCCAAAATTCTGAAAGGTGATTTTATCCTCATCTCTGAGCACTTACTTCATGTTGTTCGTGATTTTATTTTACACTTTTAAGGCCACGTTTATTATCTAATAGAAAAACTTAGGCCTTGGGCTTTTGAAATGTGTGCCTTATTTCTTCCTATTTCTATCGTCGTGTGTTTTATCATGAAGCTCCGCCTCACAAATGGTGTGTTTCTGTGTCCGACATGTGTTGGCGATAGCAACACAATGTTATATGTGTCTCTGACATAATTTTGACATGACTCTAACACAATGTTAATAAGGACAAATACAATAATTTTCTAAAAGCCCATAAACTTGTAAACTTATTGCATAAGTTTGTATCATGATTATAGAAATAAGGAACAAATTTATATGATCACTACTTTTCACTTTTTGGATATTAGATAGATGGATTGGATTGTATTAGGTGACAATAGGTTTATAACATTATATTTGACTAATATTGTTTATAGATGATTTTGACTATATAAATAATGGTTGTTAAATTAAATAATTCATAGCGATCTAATATATAGATCCGTGTCCTTGTATCCTACGTTTTGGAGACTACACATGTCAAAGTGTGTCCATATCGTGTCTAGTGTGCCCTTCAAGAAGTTTATGTATATTGTAATCTTGACATAGAGAAGTATGTTTGATTTTCTCAACATGTTGTTTGGAACATCATGTCATTTCTTTTTAAAATGATTTTATCTCCCAATTTCTCGTTAAAATAAACTAGTCAGCTGCAATCCAGTTGTTAATTGATGTGTTTATGACTTAAAAAACTTTAGCCTTATAATCCTTAAGATTAACTCGCCCAAAACCAAGTATACATAGGATCTTTGTCTTGAATGGCTCGAGCCTAAAGGTCTATGGTCCGTCTGGGATAATGAGTCTTGGTTATAGGACGAGCACAAGAGGTTGGATATATTTGGGTCTCTGTATTGCATGAGACTCATTTAGGGTAGGAAACCCTACTTTGTTTCATCATGCTTGACAAGACCTACTGCCCCATTACTCAAATAATAGGGTGAATATAAACTGTTTCTAGGTCTATAAATATACTACACTATCACTATAAACAATATAAACAACACAAATTGAATGCTTCTAGCTTAAGCTGTCTCAAGAACTTTGGCTAGAACAGAAACTAATGTGGCACCACAAAGTAGTATAAATGGTCTGAGCCATTGAACTAATGGATGTTTTGGAAGTGTTAACTGCTTAGTCTTTGTATTGTAGTGCTTCATATTATAAGAGAAATTCTTGATTGACGTATTAAACTGTGGTTTCTTGATTGATATATTTGTTTTGTAGGTGTGTGTGGCATCATGCTTCTTCATAACCACCATCATATATGTTCTTGTGACCTCCAGAATTTTATTTTGCTTTCTGATCTGTGTATGATATGCTACACCTTTTTTAATTAAAGGTAAAAGAAAAGCAAACATTATTACCCTTTTGAGAAAACTGTTACTTGATGATTGAGGGTGTTTTAACTTTCCTTTATATGTCACCATATCATGCCAAATAGAAGAGGAACGTGTATATGTTTTTTCATACATTTTTAATCTGGAATGCAGTTTCTCGCTTCCAAATGATGTTAATTTGTCTAGTTTCATGGCATGCTCTATTCTGCGGGCAAAAGCATCATTTTGGTGCAATTTTTTTTTAAAAAAAATCACCTAAATGGGACATATTTGTAAAATAATTACAAAAGTAAGTACGTAGTTGTGTTAAGGTAACACGATTTTAATTCAAAACATTTTAAAGTTAAAGTCATGTTATAAGTTTATATTTTACATGACCTGAACTAAAGTCGGGTCAACTTTTTCAATTTAAAATATATCAAATTAAAGTTGAGTTAACTGATATAATTTTAATTTAAAAATGTTTTCAATTAAAGTAATGTAGAAGTTGTGTTTGTCACAACTTGTCTATTTTCATAACTATTTTGAAATCTACCCATTTTAATAATTTTGAAAAAGAGTTGTACCATTTTATTGCTTTTGTCTTATTCTATGTTGTCTTTTAGTTAATCTCCTATGTCTGGATATCTTATCACATTGTTATTCTAGCTCTTAGCAATAATTGTCCTTGGGGAAGAATTCAGGACTCGTGGATTTACATTTATGTTTTTTATTTGAATGATTTTCTTATTCTATACACACTAAAAATGAAAAGTAAAATAAAAATTTCAATATATTAAAATTAGTTCAATAGTAGTTAAAGAAAAGAAACTTGTGAAGAAATTAATACAAGGAAGTTTTACAAGTTAGTTGAATAAAGGGCGTAATTACTTTTAACATCTGGCCGATTTATTTTTATTTCTTTAATTTTAAAATATAATTAAGGATAAAATAAAAATATTAAATGTGTACACTTAACAGAAGAATCCACACCCATAGCATAGTATGTTATAAATGGAAATACAAAATAGGAGGTTTAAAGCAATAGAGTATGTTGATTTTGAAAATAGAATAGTTGGGTAAACATCTTAACAGTTGCAAAGTCAAAAGCCTAACTTAGTAGATATTTAACATAGTTTTAAAATCTCATTTAAGTCCACACTAGCTTTGAACAAATTCAAACACCTATTAAGGTTTAAGTCCAATTATCACTCCTGCAAATAAGACTAAAGCTATTTCATTTATGTACAAGAATAGCACACTTTAATATATTAGGCAAAAATTAGAAACCTCAATACTGGGTCTGAATGTCAATATCATCTTCATAAAACCAGTTGAATTTCGGTTTTGAAGAAATCAATTTTTGTCTGCTGTTTTCATTTAAGAAAACAGAAAATGAAATTTTTAAATAATTTATATAATAAATATTGGTTAAAATTATCTGAAGCATTAGAAAATTTATTTATGTTAAAAAATATTGAAAATGTTAAGAAATAAATTTTGTACAAATTAATAGTTAAGTGTGTGCAGTTTTGTGTTTAACTGAAATTTTTAATACAATAATGATTTTATCAAATTAAATAGAACAGAAATTGGAGAAAAGTAAAAAGAATAAATTAATGAACCAATGTTTAAACAAATAAATTTGAAATTTAAAAAATATTAATTTTTTAAGTTAGTTTTACTTAATAATGTTATTGTGTTGAAATTACTGAGAATATTGATTGTATTAGTTATATGGTTAATACTTTCTCGATTTGTTATATGTTTTCGCTTTTTACATACAAAAATATTCTCTGTCAAAAAGTATATTTAATTTTAAAAATAAAGTATACTTAAAAAATATAAATATTAAAATTATATTTAACTCATGTATTAGCAATCACTTAAATTTTTTTAGGACATTCTTTTTTAAAAAACAGTTAAATACATTTTTCTAATTTAAATAAGTAAAATATGTAACAAATTGGAAAAATTAACAATTACATATAACATAATCAATATTGTCATAAATTTCAACATGATAATGTTATTAAGTAAAATTAACTTAATTTTAGTATTTTTTTAAATTTTTATTTTATTTCTTTACATACTCATTCAATAACTTATTTAATTTTCTGACTTTTCTTCAATTTCTGTTTTATTTAATTCTATATAAATCATTATTCAAATTAAAATTTTAATTAAACAAAAAATTATAAAAAAAATTAATCTTTTTTTCTTATATTTTCATTTTTAAGAAAATATAAATAAATTTTTTAATAATTTAAAAGGTTTTAATCAACATTTATCGTATAAATTATTTTCAAATTCATTTTTTTAAAAACAAATAAATATCATACCAGAATTCAGTACTAAACAACAAGTGGTTTTTAAACCACCAAAAAAGTCAGAATTTGGATCCTTAAGAGCATAATTTGGCATAACACAATAAAGTGTACAGCTATATTAGTAACAATGTGCCATTTGTGTAAAAATTATAGGCAAAAGCTTTCGTTTTTTTGTCTAACATGTTCTTCATTGATATTATTTAAAACTTGCTCAAAATTATAAAATCATGAATATGCTTCAATAAATTTTATAGAAATAAAACTTACAAAATTTTATAATTCTCAATAAATTTCTCCAACTGGGAGAGTATAATATAAAGAAAATGTGTACTTTGATTCTTTAAAATCTTCATCCATTAGTGACTTCACACAACGTTTAAAGTCTAAAATATTTTCATCTAACACCTTTTTTTGAAAAAATAAAAATGGTCCGAAGCACTATTTTTATGTTTTGAATTACATGGCTGAACATGATCATTCATGTCAAAGCATTCAACTGATGAAATACAGTAGATTTAAGCAAAGGAAAGTATTTTAGAATCTTGAAGGAGCACTACCATTTATGCTACTATGAAATACTTATAACACTTATTTCACAACCAGTTTTGAATAACATGGTGTGTGCAAGAGATAGTGCTCGACAAATTACTAATGGATATATATATTTAAAACAAAAATGACTGTGAAATTACAACTCTGTTCGAAGATTCTACTTTGTAACAATAATTTTTAATCTCATGATCTCTTGAAAGTAACAAAAATAAACACTGAAATTTCATTCCACATTACTGTTACATAAAAATTAGTGAAGTACTGTTCTCTGGATAATTATTCTTTAAACCAAAAAATTCTACACGGTGAAATGACAGGTAACTGTAAAATTTGACATGGCACATTGTGCTTAACCAGGTGAATCATAGATTGACATTTTCCAAGTACCATTTGTAGGTATCAGCAAGACCATCCTTAAGAGAGACTTTTGGTGTCCAACCCAGGCTTGCAAGTTTTGAGCTATCCATGAGCTTCCTTGGAGTACCATCAGGCTTAGTAGAATCCCAAACAAGATCTCCCTCAAACCCCACCACTTCTTTCATCAACTCAGCCAATTCCTTAATAGTAACTTCCTTTCCACTCCCTACATTCAAATGTTCCAGTCCACTGTACTTTTCCATCATGAAAACAACTGCATCAGCCAAATCATCAACATGCATGAACTCCCTCAATGGACTCCCTGTGCCCCATACCACCACCTCTTTCGCTCCTTTGACCTTTGCCTCATGAAACCTTCTCATCAGAGCTGGTAACACATGTGAATTCTCAGGGTGGAAGTTGTCGTATGGTCCATACAAGTTGGTGGGCATTCCCGAAATTGCATCCCACTTGTACTGAATTCTGTAAGCCTGGCACATTTTGATCCCAGCAATCTTGGCAATGGCGTACCATTCATTTGTAGGCTCCAATGGTCCAGTAAGCAAAGCATCTTCTGGAATCGGTTGGGGAGCAAATTTGGGGTAAATGCAAGAAGAACCCAAAAACAATAGTTTCTTGGTACCATTGCGATAAGCAGAATCGATGACATTGGTCTGGATTTGGAGGTTGATGGCAATGAAATCAGCAGGGTAGGTGTTGTTGGCATGGATGCCACCAACTTTGGCTGCAGCTACAATGACAAATTCAGGTTTCTCGGAGACAAAGAAGGCCTCAACATCAGATTGTCGAGTGAGATCAAGCTCAGCATGAGTACGCAGGACTAAATTAGTGAATCCAACTTGGGTCAGCTTGCGGACAATGGCCGCGCCAACAAGACCCCGGTGACCAGCAACAAACACCTTGGAGGATTTGTGAGGTAGAAATGAGTTTGATGACAATGCTGCTGAAAATAGACCAAAAGAAAATCAGGAACACTTTTAAAAAATCAAAGAAAAACAAAATAACTTACTCATCCTTTTCGAATTCAATTAGTAGAATGCCCATACACTTTCATCTAACCACGGATTCTCAACGTATGATAAGTTTGTTGAATCTTATAATAACTATTTTAAAAGTCAGATCCAGAATGATTTCTGACTGATTAGCCCCGTATATATCGTTACCCTATCAATGTATGACAATTTATCTCATAACTAATTTGTTTCGCTAGAATGAGCCGGCAATCAGTGAAATTCTAGTTGAATCCTAACAAAATTTTCAGGGTATGTAGCACTGCTCATCTAAGAATTTAGACATTCAATTGAAGTTGAGACTCATCTCATGAAGTTCCAATGAACAATTTTCTAAACAATCAAACAGATAGAAGACGTGAGTGAAGAAGAGAATAACTATTATTGTCCTGGCTTCCCATGCTTGTCTGTGTTGGCTGATTTACAAACAACTAAGCTATTCCCCCTTACAACTTCAAATCAAACCTGAAACGAGCCAACGACATTAACAAATAAATAAGTACAGAGGGGAAAAAACGCCAAATTTACACAGTAACACTAATTAGGGTCTTAAATCTGAAACCCATTTCTAAAACGACGAAACAAAACGAGGGCCGCAACAAAAATCGAAACTTTACCTCGAATTTGAAGCGAAAGAAAAGCTCTGATTAAGGGGATAATACTAATGACAGTGCAGTGACACCTGAGAAACCGACCCACGGTAGAGTTGGTTCCGGCGAATCGGATTCCGTCGGCGGTAATCTCAGATCTGCGAGATTCTGGAGGGATCAAATCAGAAATTGGTCCTTTTTCCCTCGTGTGACTCACTCTATGTTGGTCTCTTCAGTTTTCGCCATCTATATATAAGAACATTATCTCTCTAATGGAGAAAATGTTATTAATTATAATTACACATTTTCTATGATTAATTAAAGATTATTAAAATTAT